GGCCAGTCCTCCCTTACCCTGGCTGTATTCCACCGGGTCACCGCGGCGCAGACGGACCCGGTGGAATACAGGGTCTACCGCGTTTAGGAACCGTTAAGCAGAACCGAAATTGTGTATTTTGTATGGGTACCCGGCATTTTCTTATTGGTTCTCATCTGGAACCGAGTTTCGGTTCCCAACCCTAAATTGTACAGTATATGCATTGCTACCAAAAAACATTCCAAAAGCCCATCCAGGCGATGTGATTCCCTGGATACGATTTGTAAAATACCTCAGCTTTTGGATCCTCCATGGGGAACACCACTTATCATTTGAGAGCAGCTCATAATTTACCTCTTGGGACCATGGTCCATTTTTAATGAAGCTAGCTGAGATGCAGAGAGATGTGCTTCTCTAGAATGAGCATACTGGATAATTGCCCTTCTTGGCTGGTGCTGCAAATGTGCATGAGACTGATACAAAAGTGTTCTTTAAGTATGTCAACTTTTCCTAATAGACTGCATTATGTAATTGCTTTGTGGTCAGACAGAAGGCAAAGATAATTTTAGAGGCAACGCAATCGCTAACAAAGTCAATGGTAGCTGGCCATAAACATGAAGTGATTCTAATGTTATGGTAAATGTCTGATTCCTTAAATATGTGTCTTTTTTGATAATGCAAATTAGGCTGCTGCGATGCAAGAAAAATGTCAGACTTGACCTCACAATTAAGTATTATCGTAACGTAACTGTAGAGGCATGTTAATGTGTTGGTAGCAGTGGCGAACCATCAGGGCCTTCAAGGTATTCAGAGAATACCCTGGAACACTCAGATAAAACAAATACAAAATCGATTTAATTATATAAATAAAATGTAATAAAATGTATAAATGAGAATTGTATCTGTGTTGTTGATCTGTAATATTACAGTGTTACGTTGATTTGTGTTAGAAAATAAAGCAACCAATCAGATCTTGTTCTGGGTCTCTGGGTAGAATATCCATCCTTCAACCAAGGTATTCTACATCCTTGATCGAATGCCCTGGCTGTTGCACTGAATGAGAGCGTACGTTTGGACTGACAGTTTGATCAACCAATCATATATTGATTTGTAGCCAATGGGCGTATTCTTTCAGAGTTCCCCTCGGTTCCAGGGTACTCTAGAAGGCCCGCTAGTTAACTGGCTCGAGACAGAGGCGGCGGCGGGGGGTGTGTGTGTGTCTACAGAAGGTCCAGTTGTGTTAGACATGGTTCGCCACTGGTTGGTAGTAATATATCCAACCTACTGCTTCCATGGCAACCCACTGAGACAAAAGCTTATGACAGTCATTGATCTTCATAAAAGCCACATGCTCAACATACTTATTTGTTTACAGGGTTTACTGTAATGGTCAATAAAATGCACACAATACAAACTGTTGAAATATTGGGCTCTAAACCTGTAATGTGCAATATATGCAGTGTTTTTGGCAATTGTACATTTAGCTACAAGCTGCTACTAATTTGTAACCATGGATGAGTAATTATTATTATTTTGATTTCCAATGTGTGCTTTTTCTCTATTTTTAACATGCTAGCTACTCAATTATTGCTCGCCTTTTATCTGCTATGTCATTTTTGCTATAACGTTGTAAACGTCCCTGCTGCAGGACTAATACAATAATTGTGATTCTGATCAAAACAGTGATAGAAAACCATTTAGCAGGTTAACACTGGGTCTCCTGGGTGAGCAGCAGAGCGGTGGGGGGCTGGTAGCTGCTGCAGGATGGGTGTCCGATGGCTTCCCAAAGGGAGGGAGGCGTTAAGCATGCGCTCACACTGAGTGGGTGGCCAGCAGTCTGACTCAAGCTCTTGGCTCGACAGTGTCAGGTCTGCCTGCCCCTCAAGGGCAACAGAACAGAGAGACGGAGCCCAAACAGTAGGGCTGTGACATGTCTCCGCCAACACAGTGTGCCTCAGTACACACCGTGGATAATGTGCACCAAAGCTTAACTATGTGGAACCGCCAGAGAAAAGGTGGCCTGGAGCTCTGTGCCATTTTAAAAGGACAGAAGGAGCAGAGCTTTTAAGACTTTCATTTATTTTTTAGACTATTAACATGTCCGATGTACAATATTACTTATGTGCAATATATATATATATATATATATATATTTATAAATCATTATTTGATTCCTTGCTGATTTTGTAAGTTTGCCCACTTACAAAGAAATGAACAGTCTGTCATTTTAATGGTAGGTTTATTTGAACAGTGAGTATAAGAATATCAAAAAGAAAATCTATAAATTGACATTATATAAAAGATAAAAATGGATTTGCATTTAACTGAGGGAAATGCTACTTAATCGACAGCAAACCAATGTTTTGGCATCATGCACTAAGGTGGTCTCTTTGATAAGTTGCACTGACAATTTAATGAGAAACATGATCTTAGTTTCATTTCTTTCTCCAGTTAATGAAAAATTGCATTAAAAAAACAATATTAAATTAAAAGGAATTACTACTACAAAGTAATAGTTATTCAATACATTTCCTATTAATCCATGGTGGTTACTACCTTTAATCTACTGTATTCAGGCAGAACTGTTATCAAAAAGCCCTGTCCCAAAAAGCTAAAGTTTACACATTTCTTAGATTGAAAGCAGCCTTGTAGCAGTCATGTGCTAAACTCATTGAAATGCAAGATACACCAGGGCTGAAATAAGATACTAATGCAAAAACAAAGGGGATTACTGCACTGACAGCGGTCACAGTTCAATGAAGCATTCAAAGACACACTATTTACTCTGGGGCTTGATGGATTAGGGCTGTTGGTAACCATATTGTGATCATAATAAACAATACAAAACACAAATACAACTATTTGCCCACTGAGACAAAGAGAGTAGTAAAGGTTGGTTGTTCTGCCATTATATTATATTAAATGGTACTGTGGCATATTTGGGACATTTTCCTCAATGTGTACAAATATATCTATTCAAGAAACATGTCAATTATTTAAGTTTTTTGTTTTTTTCTACTCCGGTCAATCAATTATAAACAAAACTTGCTTTCACTGTACATTTTGAGGAATATTCTGGTTTCTATCAAGAAGCCTAATTTCTTTCCAGAATGAATAAAGTTATGTTATATAAATCCTTACCACTATCTGGTGCCTATATAGTAGCAATGGTTTCTACTTTGTTGGGATTCTTATTTTTGTTTCTTGCTTTGGACATCAGCAATGCAGCTAGCACTATCCATGTTGTTAACAATATATGAACAAGCTGATTGATCTACTCCTGTATGTGTTCATATACAATCCACAGACAGAACATTTATATTTGATACAAATCAAGTGTTTCCTTTGTTGTTGGCATCTTTGAGGAAAATGGCATTGCCATGTTATCAGGAAGTTGTTGTTGCTATGGAAACAACATGACGGTATCTGATATCTTCTACATATAAAGACGGAGAAAGTAAAGAATAAAGTTTATGTTTCAATGTTAGCACCCCCAGAAGAGGCACAAGCTCTTACGTTGAGTCTGGAGTTTCAATAAATTCTAAATCATCAGTAAAGTCTACGACCATATTTCGGAGGGATATGCTACATATTAACTTTCAATTTTATGCATTTCAGTTCTTCATTAACATTCCTTAATTAACACTTCACTTTCCTGACACAGTTCCACTAACATACATCCACTGTCGATTGTTATTTAATATTCTTTGCGGAATTTGGCCGTGTAAAATGTCCTCTTGGGTTGCCGTACAGCCAATGCGTGATGTCATTGGTAAGCGTAACGGACCCGGGCTGATCTGGTAGGCCGTGGACATATGGTACCTACACCAAGCCCCCAGGAAGTGCGCCGGACTCTGAGGAAAATATTTGTTGTGGCCAAACGGCGGTACTACACTTTTGTATCAGTCTCTGGGCCCGGAAAGACTTTTTCCCATTGACTAACATTGGGAAAGAGACTTCTGTAAAACTAAACTACCCAGTATGAACATTTGTATAGCCCTTATTAAAAACATTCGGTCCTCAAGTTGTAAAATGTGCTAATAACGTTATTCTGAGAGTTATTTCCCTCTGCATTATGAACGCAGATCTAACCCACGGGACCGCGCCGCCCGGCACGTTCATGTGACGTGTTCAGTACTACATGAGTTTTACCTTTACCCATGGATGCACAATGAGAATGGATTATATGATTATATGAATACTTTCGTGACGTTTCGCTCTCTCAAAAGTTGGGCCATTTTGTCTTCATGCGCCAATGAGCAACTCTCATAGGAATTAAAGAGGCCCCGCCTCCCACGCTGTATCCAGTTCTTATTATACATCCATGACCTACACCGGCTAACAGGTACTGTTTAACAGTTTTTCTGGCCCTCCAAAATCCAGGTTCTTTCGCCATGACACAGACAGTCTGTGGTTTGTACTTGTTTAACTTTTGTCTAGTTTCTGAACAGATATGAGGAGCTGTGAGCTCTGAGTGCTAAGAGCTGATGTTGGTTTTCTGTGGTTTTCATTGAAGATGACGTCACGGCTCCGCCTACACTGCGTTACTATAGTTACTGCCCCAGCTACTAAACTGTAATGGAAAGGCAGCATAAAGTGAGCCTGGCCTACCAAGGCCTAACTATACCGTACTAAGCCGTGCGAAGCCCTGCGGTGGAAATGCGTCAAAAGACCCCTACATCTTTGCACTGCCTTCCTCTTTGTTTTCCACCCAACTATCCTTTATTTCCCAGCCTCCTTTTGTTGCCTCCTCCTCTTCCACTCCTCCTGTCTCCAAAGGTCTGAGTACCAGCAGCTGAGGATGGGCTGAACTCAGAGCGGAGCGTGGCAGCGCCGGCTGGATTCACCTCCTTTCTCTTTTTGTTATTGTGTGCCGTCTAGGTGGTAGCTGTATGGGTGTGAGCTCAACCAGCCCCCACTTCAGTGGGAGGGGAGGAGACAACAGAAAGTGCGAGCAATGGCACTTCCCCCTCCCCCTCCCTCCCTCCCTTTCATTCTCATGCTCCTTCATGCCACCACCATCAGAATCCTCCCTCTCTTGACTTCGTTCTGCTTGGTTATGCAATGCACATTCCTCCCACGGAATAGCTGGTGTTGGAGACCTGCCGTAACACTGCTGTCACTGGCAGCAGATGCAGATCCATATTGCCATAACAACAGTCTGGTGCTCCGGCTGCTATCGCCTCTCTTCAGACGTCATTGGGATTTTACAGCTCCATGGGATTTTACAGCTTTTCCACTTTTGGAATATCATCTGCCAGACTCCACTAATTCCAGGACGTAAACCATTCCTACTTGGCTCAACGGAGGATGGGTGTCCCCATCAACTGATCCTAAAGACAGTTTTGTAATGACTGGCATGGGGGCTACAGTGACAGGCATGAGGGCTTTTTTGAAATTGTACTGTTCCACAGAAGAGTAGTAAGCCATCAGAAGGGATAGAACTGAAAAAGGAGGTGTTGGATTTACTGATAAGCCGGGCAGGGAGGTGGATGAGTTGTGTTTAGGCAAAGCAGTAAAAGGGAACTCAAGAGACAGCAGACAGAAAAAAGATGGGAGGAACAGTGGGGAGGCAGGAGAGGGTAAATGGGGAGAGGGTATCTCCCTCAGAAGAAGCTACTAGCGCTTTAGCAGCAATGCAATCCTGCTGATAAGAGATTGCGATTGCGAGGGGGAAACTTAATCAAAAGGAAGTTGGGGGGTGGAGGGTTTTTAAACCTGACCGGTGGCGCTACAGACTGGGTGAGTGGAGAAGTGACACATCAGGCTTTTTTACTGGAAAGCCTGTGAGCACAGCGAAGGCATCGTGCCACTACTACCTTCCATCGCTCCGTCTGTCATTGTCTGAGGCTACACATCTCTTCTCTCCCCCCATCCTCGACATGTAGAATGTCTTTGAAGCCATGGCTTACCAGTGAGGATCCAAAAAGCATGCCGGATGTTGTTGTCATACACCTTAGACGCCTTAGGGTAAGCCACTTATTCTTTATACCATCATTTTTATTTTTGTGTAATTTCGTATTTTGTAATATCAGGCATTTCAGTGAATAAGGTGACATATATACTGCAAGGGTTGAAGGGGATGAGGATGATTGTAGTTCCATTCACATATAAACCAAAGCCAAGAATGCTCCTGTTAATGTTTGTGTTCACACCATTTCCAATGCCCTTCATAGGGAAGGTGGGAACTATGCTTAAAATAACTACTAACAAGGACCTGGGGGTGGGGAGTGGTTAATCATTAACGGCAAGAGAAAAGAGTTGGGCGGGCGTGAGGGGGCTCTTAATGAAAGCCTTAAATCATGCTTATTTTGACATGAAGTAACGCCATTGTGCTTTAGTGATGTCAGTTGAACAGTTTGATTGCAGATTATCCACGGCAGAGGCTGATTGGCGCTGACGGACACACTGCTGTGAAGGCGCTCTGCTCCAAGCTGTGGCAGCTCGTAAACACCGCTGTTTACACTCTAATCTCCCCTCCGCCCTGACTGGCCATTGTTATGTTCCATTAATGATTTGTTTCTTTCTGGTGGGAGGATAACGTTGGCGGGGCTGCAAAACCCAGATCAGTGTGGGACTGTTTGTTACCGTAGATTAGTAAGAGGACGAACACAAATGAACCCATGTTTAGCCTTTAATTACTTGGTCATTCAGACAAGATATTTTGGTTGCTTTTTATGCGCGTGTGAACGTTCTGACATGCTCTCCATGATTTCCTTTTATTCCAGATAAGTGTTCCCCTGCCTGGTTAGCTGAGCATCAGGATCATGGGCACCACAGCCATCACCCTCGAGGACTTCAAGGCACTAGAGGTCAAGGAGGAGCAGGAGGAGTCTATCTTGGCATTTTTGGGCATAATTTGCACATTCCTTAACCTTTTTGTAGTCGTCTTTGTTTATATTTACACCACACTGTGAAATCAAACATAAAGGGTTCTTTAAACCTGACGTCAGAAAAGACTTCTACGATAAAGGAGGAAGTGAGCAGGCAGGAAGGAGGATTAGAAAGAGTTGGAAAAAGAAAACTGACATGAACATCTTTCCCAGAAAGAGGTGGAGGAAACTGGACACACTGGAAGAGGTTGAAGATGGCGAAGCCATGATGCCAAGCCATAGCCATGACTCGGGGAGATAACAGAGGGCTGGGAGACATGGCAGAAAGCGGGCTGTGTGGGTCCCAGCGTGGGCAGAGCCAGGTGGACATGACTAAGCCACCCAGTGGCCTGATATGATATACAAACCTCTACTTCAACTCATTTTCCTGGACTTCTGGACTCTTTGAAAGTCTTATGGACTTTCATTTTAAATGTATGTTGATAAGACTAATTGCTCTTTGAATGGAAGGGCTTTTAACAACCTGATTACAAGTAGAACTTTTGAAGCTTCTATGGAGACACTATTTGCCACCATATCCCATCAGCCTTCAGGGCCACATACTGTAGCTTCCCGGCCCCTGTCCAAGAGTTTCCCCAGAAATGTGGCTCTTAGTTCTGCTGTACTTTCATCTCCAAAAATATCTGCCATTTCTAAAATGCCCTCAACCAACCAGAAACAACCTTACATGTAAACACATTTTTATTTAGGAAAATATGTGCAAAAACGTTTACATTGTGCTGATGAGGAATTTGTAGAGATGTTACTCCAAAAGGGAGATATTTTTTTTATAAAGAAAACGTTTAATTATCAATAAATGTGAGAAAACGATAAACGTGTCAATAAACCATGTAGCCTATATACATGTAAACTGGGTCTATCTTCTTGCTTTTTCTGCATCTATTTCCACAATTTGAAGTTGGTGTTTGGGAGGGGGGGTTGGAATATTCTCATATATTTGTTCATGTTGATTTCAGGTTTGTGTCCGCAATCTTTTTCCTGTGTTAAAAAAGCTTGTATACACATTTGAATCAAGTCGAGAGGTAACATGTAATAGGGGACATCTGAAAAATAAAATCTGAACATATAAAAAAAGGATAGCCTCCAGCCATTTCTGTGAGAAACCCCAAAGGAGTGTGTGTGACAGAGTCTGAGGATCATCACAGGAGTTATTTAATGACGTATGCAGGAGAAAGATTATTGCTTTCATGTGACTGGGATAGGAAGACATAAGAACCCAATTGGGAATTGAAGGGCATCTTTATGGTTGCATGTTCATAATCCCATAAAATGTAATCTCCCTCTGCTTGCTGATGCATGCTACATCACAACTGACAGTATAGAAAAGGGTATTTTCCTGCTAGCATGAGCTATACAGACAGTTAAAGACTAATCTTGACTAAAAACCCAAATGGAAAAGCAAGTGAAAAGTACAACAGAGTGGGACACTTCTTCAATCCATCCAGCATGCTAGAGAACATTAGCTAGGGAGAAGAAGCCCCATGGTTCTGTAATTAAAATGATGATCACTAGTGGTGGCCTGGTCAAAACCACTATTTGCTTACCAGGCTGAGAAAATATAAAAAATAAAAATGTAACAAACAATGTGAAGCCTGTGCTAATAAACCCCACCGTTCACACACACTTATTCAATGGTGGGGAAGCTCTGTAAACACAAACACACTCGCCTGTGTCAATTGCCTTCTGTTCCACATGGTCTCTACGGTATATGGAGTGAAGAATCATTACCAAACACCCTCCAACAGCCCAGTCATGTTCAGATTACCCTCCAACATCATGCGGGCGCCCACTTAACATGAATGATGGACCAGAATAGAGACTACCTAACCGGTGTAACCTGCTGCAGCTTAGATAACTTTACATTCTTATTTGTCTTGGATGAGCATAAAGGAAAATCGAGGTTTAGAACAGTAGAGATGTTTAGTCTGAATACAACACAGACATATAAACATCGCATATCAGATCGGGAAGCCAATTAGTGTCAACAACAATGTGCAAGGAATAAATTCTTCAATTGAGATACATTAGTATTGTGCTGAAATGTAAAGGTATTACCTCTCACTAATGGCTTAGTTCATATGATGGAGTGCCAGGAGACTGTGAGAAACTGTAATGCATCCCAAAAGGCTTTGCCAAGACACCAATGATTAATGTGGAGCGCTGTTGGGGCTGAGGAGCTGTGGGGCGGGGGGGGATAAAGCAGCTTGAAAATGAAAGCCTACGTGCTAGTGGGTTCGAGTAAGAGGAAAATAAAGAGTTGGGGGTAGTAAAGAAATGAGGCTCCGTTTGGAGGGGATTTATTTCTCTGGGGGAGGAATGGGTATTTTGAGGTTGCCGTTAATTAAATACAACCAAGAAAACAAGGGTTTGATCCCCCCCACCTACGGCAGTGGTAAGGCCCACTGTTAATTGTCATGTTTTGTTGTTTTCAGTGGTAACAGAGTATCTGTATAAACTCTGTTCCAGGATGTTACCAGCTCTGTGTGCTGCTTTAGAGGTGTAGAGATTATTACACCACCTAAAAAGCCTATACTGGAAGCTCGACTCGAGAATGTTAAGACGTGCTGTCATAACATCAGTCAATCTGTGTTGTAATCAGCAGCTCATACTGAACGTTTTCTTTTGGGTCTTATCAGTCACTACTACATTACATTACATGTTACTTGTTAGACGCTTTTATCCAAAGCGACTTACATACTCAGTACTGTGGGCAATCCCCACAGGAGCAATTTGGGGTGAAGTGTCTCAGGGACACAACGACATGCTGACTGCAGTGGGGTTCGAACTGCAGTGGGGTTTGACCCCCTGATCCCAACACTAACGCACTAGTCCACTGCGCCACACGCCGCCCTGCAGAGAACTATCCTTTGACAGCATAACAACATATCCAAAAAGGTTTTGAGGTTAGGGAGATGAAAAAAACATCCAAACTAATATTGTATAAGCGGAATAAAGTGAGGGTTAGATAGTCTCTCTTTATTAGTATACTGTCGTCACAGGTTTGAATCTCCTTCCAAATATGTACTTTGTGTTTAGACTGTCCTGGAACTACAGCTTAATAGTTCAAGTTAAGCAAGCACTAGTGTTCATTTCGTTGACTAAAACCATGACGAAATATGTTCGTCAACAACCTTTTTTTCCATGACTAAGACGAGACGGCAACGACGTCAGTAAACAATAACTGACGAAACAAAAATGTAGTTTACTAAATAAAAACTTTGCCAAAATCTCTCTTTACTTTCGTTGACGAAAAAGAAGGAGACGAAATATTATCAAAGATAACGTTACATCTCTGATAGTCAGTTTTGTTCCCAGCAGTTCCATTTCCAGTGCTGCGGCTGCGCACCAGTTGAACTGTCAGGAAGACTCGGATCTAACGAACCTTATTTAACAGAAACGAAAATGGCAACAACAGGGCTTGGGAAAAAGAAACGAGGTGATATTTGTCCTTGCCAACATGTTAGCGCTGATTAACCAACCCCCTCAGCCTCTAGCTGAGCCGGGCATACTTTTTATTTGCACCGTTCCTTATTATGGTTGCTATTCTAGCAAACCGTGCCTTGTTTAAACTTTAATTTATTAAACGTTTTTAATGGCATCAATATGCCATGTGAACTAGCTTGTTAGACAGCAGTTCATGAGGCACCATTTTTTTCCTTTTCATATCTATTTACAACAAAGTGGAGTTAAACACACAGTTGCAAACTTACTCAGGGTGTTATGGAAGAGTTTGAAATCAGACAGAGGTGGAAGAAGTACTCATATCTTGTGTAGGAATACTCTGTTACAGTAAAAGTCCTGCATTCAAAATGTTACTCAAGTAAAATTAGAAAATAATTATCAAAATATAAGTAGCGACAATAAAAGTAGTCGTTGTGCAGAGTGGTCCATCTCAGAATAATATATATGATATGTTTTATAATGATTGATCATGAAAGTGTTCTCAAAGCTGGTGAAGGTGCAGCTAGTTTGAATGACTTTGTATACTGCAGGGTAGCTGGTGGATTTACTCCAGGTGGAACTAAAGTCTGATTCAACACTTGATTAGATTTCACATCATTCATCCACATCTGTGAAGTAACTAAAGGTATTAAATACATGTAGTGGAGTAAAAGTACACCATTTACCTCTGAACTGTAGTGGAGTAGAAGTACAAAGTAGCATCAAAGTCAAATACAAATATCTCAAAATTGTACTTAAGTACAGTACTTGAAGAAGTGTACTTAGTAACTTCCCACATCTGAAATCAGATATGACTTCAAGTCATGTGATCATTTCTTAGTATTTGATCCTTCCACTTGGCCTCAGGAAATGCAAGGATTTCACAGTTTTGGCAACAAGTTTTGGAGAAAGCAAATCGGAGGCTTAAAAAGAGACAGGGAGGTGCTTCTTCATCATCCTCTAGCATGCAAGAAGTGTAAATAGAGGACAGTGAAGGAGACACTGAGGAGGACCACGCTTTGTGTGGGGTGAGTACCAAAAACGCTGTCTCCTGGTACTCATCTGAGTAACTCACTAAAAAAGTGATGTGCACCCCTGGTTATGACATATGGAGTGGCTATTCATAGCTATTAAAGGTGTTTAATCATTAAGGCTATGCTTCAACAGAGCAGGTAGCAATACATAATCAAACAAGGGCTACAAACACCATATCCTCCTGAGACCCCGAAAGAAAAAGGTTTCAAATTTCCTTTTTTTTTTAGATCACACAAGTCTGGTAATAATGACTAACACAAACTAAAACAATATATTTGATTTTTTGTTTTATTGTGTATCCTTTGTAGAGTACATCGGGTGTTAGTCATGTGAAGCATAGTATACAAACAACATTAACATACAAGTACATTTAGACAACAACTCAATGCAACAAATACTGAGCCCTCATTTGTAGTACTCCATCCTCTTTTGAAATGCAGAGATACATCTGACATTTGAGGCACTTGATGTATGTGTTCCCACTGCATCCGTCTGCCATGAACCCTACAGAAACCTACGTGTTAGTTTTGGCCCAGAGTGAATGACGGGCCTTTTTTCTGTAACTGTCTCCTGCTCTTCCTCAGTCAATGCCTCCTCCTCTGAGTTATCAACCTCTTCCTCAATCACTGCCTGTGGATCCTCATCATCTGACAGGTCTATGTCTGAGTCTCCCTCTCTGCCTTGGTTAGTGAGCTACCTCCATTTGTGTTGTGTAAAATGGGGGAAATAAAAAGATAGCAAATCCATTTAGTTTTAGGTCAAATAAGTATTACACTGCTCTGAAAACTCACTACACTAACTCCTAAGATGTTCCCTTACTATAATGAATTAAAAATATTGAACTCACAACACTGGTAATTACAAAATTACAAACTTACTATTTCTATAAATAGTGCTTGTGTTGATGGACGCCATTTTGAAATACAATGAAATTATCTTTTTAAAAGCCACACCCCCACATGTGTCACATGTCTGAAAAGCCCAGGATGTCCTCTGTGGAGTACAATTGGACTTAATGCTGTGGCATGTTGTAAGAGTCGGTGAGGGCTGATAATTTATTCCGGGAAATTACTCAGACCTACTAATTGACCTAACCGAAGTTATTGAGTCTATGTAAGTTTACTGGTTGGATCAGATCCACCAACGTCAGCAAGATCTCACCTCTATAAGCTCCTGAAGAACCAGGTTCAATTAACTGATGTTTCAATTCAGACAACTCTCTTAAATCTGTTTAAGCGATCCCGAAGGATTTTGATATCAGTAAATGAGGTGTGGCCCTACCTAAGTGTGAGTGTGGCAGGGTGCAGTCTTACCTTTGAAGCAGGAGAGGAGAGCACAGATGTCTTTTAAGTTATCCCAGTCCAAAAGGTGGGATCAGTTTATTTGAAGAAAAATAGATCCAAACTAATACAGGGTTTTTACCTTCTCTCTTTACAACATTATAATCATACTAAACCTATCATGCTGTGATCATGTTCTAATATGAAACTTTAATTCACAGTTTTACATTTATTACCAAAATTGTAATTTCAACTGCCCAATTCAGTTGTGATTTTTAAATCTCCCGATAGAATTTAGAGGCATTTCCT